GGAGGGGGAGGGGGAAAAAGGAAAATGAGCTAATTCCAGGAACCCAAGAGGAAAGCGAATTTTGGGAATGATGAGGGCAACAAATGTATAGGTGTGCTTTAGACAACTGATCTATGTATTATGATGAATTGTATGAGCCCCAATAAATATATTAAAAAAATAAAAAATAAACAAAAGTTCATGGAAAACTTTCCTTCATTATTTTTCAATTTCATTTTTCAGTGAATTCTCCGAAGCGCCCCCCTATTCCACAATGTTAGTAGAGGCACATAATTATTTATTTTTTGGTTCTTAAATCTGTATGGGTTATATTAATTTTATTTATTTTTCTTAAAGTCAAAAGAAAGACACCCTATAAAAGCATAGGTAGCATTACCGATAATTTACTGAGAAAAAGCAGCAGCAGTGAGGAAAGCAGAAGTGAAATTAGAAAGTCAAGAGGGTAGTCTTTCATGTTCTCTGGTATGTGCCTTGTTACTGAAAATAGGTTCTCCCAAACTAACGCACATTCATCAACAAACGAGAAGAATTTACATTAAGCCAATGCTGCACTGTCAAAGTTTCCATCTGAACAGCAGCAAAGCTACTGATTAAGGTTTTCAGTAATAATTCAAGTAAATAAGAAGAAATAGTCAATCAGCCTGCTTTGTAATACTGAAGAAAAATACAGATGTCAGCAATTAATCTGAAATCTCAACTAAACAAACTTAGAAGGTACCATTTATTTAGCTCCAAAGGCATTTTCAAAAGAATTCTCATTACTATTCTCTCGGGAAGCTGCTTAACCTCTGCTCTCAAACCACTTTTTGATTAACATTTTAGCTCCATCACTGCAAGAATGGCTATCTCAGAAGAATGTCTGGTCATCAATTTGTGTGTTTATTACTTCGCAGCGGGATTATTTCAATGTCACTTGCAACTCGGCATTGTTAAGAACTTAATTGCCCACTGCTACAGCCATTTTGTAACATTTGGGTGAAGGATATTCCCACTTGAAAACTATGTTGAGTATACAACTTTGAAATATTTACATTTCAAATTTCAAAACTCAGATACCATATATTAACTCTTCAACAAGAGATGGAGAGATAAATATATGAATACACAGATGGACTGCAAGTCATTTTCACATTTATAAAACATAATGACGACAGGTGGGCCTCTTCACAAATTTCAGAAGTTATTTTCATAATTTACCATCTTTTCCCTCTTATCCTGTTCTGTAGGTGGCTCTTCATCTTCGGTTGCTTTTGGTTCCTCAAGATGAGACATCAACATGCAACTAAAGTGAACAAACAAAAGCAGATGTTTTAAATAAGAAAGACATGTGTGAAAGATATAATAAAACAAGCCTGCAAAATCACTGAAAATGTAACTGACTTTATATACCACCATGTGAGAAATATACTAGGAAAATTAGATTTCTACAAGGAAAAGACTATCTCACTTTAAAGAGATGCAAATATTTTAACACTGAAAATGGTGAATTACAGAATGAGTGGGCTTGAGAAGTTCATGGAAAAAATGAAATTAAAGAACAATGGAATTTTTCCATGAATGTTTTCAACCCACACAACTTTACAAAAAGCAAGCTATACCCTTTATATTTTTATAGAAAAATGATGCTAAAATACTTTTCAATAATCTTTGTATTTAGGGTATACATATTTTATAACCATAGCAATGATAATTTAAATAAATATTACTGAAACCCTATTAGATATGCGGAAACCTACACTTGCTCCAAATGGCATTACTATCTCCAGAGAATTTGTCCCTGATAGCACTTACACCTGGCAACAAGGTTATAAATCATTCTTGTGATTATCTGCACCATTGCTCTTTACCATTAGCAGAGATAATAGAAAGATAGTTTCCTATTCAGTCAACGCTGGTTCCAGGGAGACAAGAAATGAATATTGTCTGGTGAATCAAGTTGAGGGAATAAACCCAATGCTTCCTAATTTAGAGTAGCAGGGTTTAGCAATTTATCAGTTACAAGTTCCTAACCTATAAACTGTGGCAGAAAAGGCTTGATTTCTCTTACAGACACAGCAAGTCCAGGTGAGGGATAATTCCTGACTCGGCTCTGCAAATAACATTTTATCTCAGAGTTGAGGATAGTTATACCATAACACCAGTAACTCGATCAGAATCATTCTTCCAGTAGTATGGGTGTCCTTCTCGCTTACACGCCATCATTAAACCTATAGCCTCTGGTCCAGAAGGTGCACATTGGGGGACCAAATACACCCCACACCTCATTTACTATCTTGTTATCCTATATTTCACTGTATGACAATAGTAAAAAGTCTACTAGATGGCTATCATTCACATTAATGAGGCAGTGAGAATGACAGTGAGGGTGCAGCACACCCCTGCCGCGAAGCCGATCTCCAGGTGGCCGTGTCATACTACCGCTGCCCTCTACTGCTGTGCCTGGTCCAGGAGGCACATGTTCTGAATTCCCAATTCCTAAGCGGTCTGAGTTAGAAAACCAAAAGGAAGTACACACTTAGCATATCTGAAACTGAAAAATTCAAGCCTCGTGGTATAATATTGAAAGATTCTATGGCAGATTAATGAATGATGCAGGAAGTATCAAAAAAGGATGGATCAAATACTTAGAGTCACTGTACCAATATGAACGAGTAAACAGCCCTCCACTCCATTTCAGGAGGTATCACATGAATTAAGTACCAATGGTGCTGAAGGAAGAAGTTTAAACTATACTGAAAGCATTAGCCAAAAACAAGGTTCCAAGAATCGATGGCATAACCACTAAAATGTTTCAACAAGCTGGTGAAGCACTAGATACACTCACTCATCAAGGCCAGTAAACCCAATTGGAAGACAGCTACTTGGCCAAGTAACTGGAAGAGATCCATATTTGTACTCATTCCAAAGAATGGAGTTCCAACGAATGTTCAAATGAGAGAACAATACCACTGAATCACATGCAAGTAAAATTTTGCTGAAGATCATCAAACAATAGTTGCAGCAGTACGCTGACAGGGAGCAGCGTGAGATTCAGGCCTGATTCACAAGTGGACGTGGAACCAGAGATAGCATTGCTGAAATAAAACAGATCTTGCCTCAAAGTAGAGAATACCAGAAAAATGATTGCTAGTGTATTCTTACATGCGCTGACTATCTAAGGCATTTGACTGTGTGGATCCTACTACACTCTAGATAGCCTTGAGAAGAATGAGAATTCCAGAACACTTCACTGAGCTCCCGTGGAACTTGTACGTGGATAAAAGGAAGTTGTGGAAACAGAACAAGGGAATACTGCATACTTATTCAATCTGCATGTTCAGCAATAAGAGAAGCTGAATTATATGAAAAAGAATGCAGCATCAGCATTAGAGGAAGGTTTTACCAACATCTGCAATACGGAGATGACATGACCTAGCCAGCTTAAAATGAAGGGGGCTGGAAGCACTGGCCTTCAGTAGGGATTATAACTCAACATAGAGACGACCAAAATCCTCACAACCTGATATTAGGTAACATCATAATAAAGGGTGAAAAGACTGACATCAATGATTTCATCTTGCTGAAGTCCACAATCAATGCTCACAAAAGCAGCAGTCAAGAGATCAAAGGACACATTGCATTGGGTAAGTCTGCCATCACAAGACTTCTTTAAAATGTTCAGAAGCAAAGATACTATTATGAGAACTAGGGTATGCCTGACCCAAGCTATAGTATTTTCAATTACCTCAATTACTGCATATGAAAGTTAGACACTAAATATGTTAAATTGAATAAGAATCAATGTGTTTATATAATGGTGCTGGTGAAGAATACTTAAGGTGCCATGGACTTACAAAAGAATTTTTTTTTAATCTGTCTGGAAAGAAGTACAACCAGAATGCTTCTTGGAAGCAAGAAGGGAAAGACTACTTCTCACAGACTTTCAGACTTACTGTCAGAGACACCAGTTTCTGGAGAACGACAGCATCCTTGGTAAAGTAGAGGGGCAGCGGAAAAGAGGAAAGAGGAAGGCCTTCGACAAGACCGACTGCCACAGAGGCTATAGGAATGGAACAACTGTGAGGGTGGTAAAGGAACAAGAGGTGTTTGGCTATGTTGTACACAGGGTCGCTACGAGTCAGAACCGACTGCACAGAATGGCATGATAATACAGGATCTTTCATACCAGTCATTAATGTCTGTTGCAGACTTGCCTTCTACCTGCAATGAAGCTGCAGCTCTAGGGAAGGGTCACATTGCTGTTATGTATGTAGTACGCTTTCTTCTGCATCGAATTCATTCTCTGC